TAAAGGGGGATATAGGAAATATGAATATATCAGGGAAGAATGGGAGATACCATAACTGTTTAGCACACATTTGGTCAAAGGATTGGCTTCACTTGTCTGTTTGACGAGTTGTCGTGTGGTGCTAAGAATGGCGAGACTCACTGATGATGCCGACTATGATGCCGGCGAAACGTCTAGGAATGTACCACGTCCACGGTACTACTCTGGAAATGATGATGCATACAATTGACTTCGTACTAGGTGTGTTCCTCTAAGTATTCCTACCAATATGACCATGTTGCGAAAACAAGGTCAAACAACCTTTTGCATTTTTATAGTTGGCTTTTCGGCGAAGCAAACAAGTATTTGCCATTAAAGTTAACAACGTTACTTATATTCGAATTAAGTAGTATGCCGTAATACAAAATCTTGAATATTACATTCATAATGGGCATACTTATTCTGTAAATGTAGTCCCTATTCTACCACACCTTCCATTGTTATTGTCCTCTTTGCTCTGCCCTACCAATGACCACACAATTGCAAAAACACACAAACACATGCACAATCTAACATTCCCACGTGTTCCCATGGACTCGTCTGCCCACTTCCGACAAATTGCTGCCTTGGCTGGTCTGCTGGTTGGTCGAAGTGCTCACCGAGTTGTTCTGTCGCGTCGACAACGACTGCCGTCATGTCGATGGGAGTAGCTGCCATCCAGGCGCCGGACGTTGCGTCTGTCCCGGTGGGCTGGTGTATGTACCACAGCTGCATGCCTGTCGTGAGTCTTTGCTGTTTTGCCAGCAGCAGCAGTTGGAGGCAGTCGGTTGGTTAGAAGGCACCTGAAATTGCTGAGTCTTTTGAGGCTTACTTGTACTTGACGATGTTTGATTCCAGTTCTGATGATCATTTCTTACGTCGGGATTAAGTAGAGCCTAAAAGCGTTTTTGCCCGATTTTGTTAAGGTTTCGTTTTTCTGCCACGAGCACCCCACGGACCAACATAATGTTTTTGCCTCAGATCATCGCGGCGGAGTGTGGTTGACTACGAAATTCACTCCTCTTAGGCAGCACAAGATGGGCAGGCAGTGATAGAAACATTTTCATACTCTGAACCGAGCAGAAGGTCTCACGATACCAGTGAATTTCACACAATAGTAGTGAAACTGGGTCGTCTGCCTAAAGTGGCGATAAGTTAACAATCCCGACATAACAAAGGAGGCCGTTGGGTCACTGGACCGCTTTGATGTTCAGGACAGACTAAGCCTATGTTATTTCACTCATTTGTAGCAAACTTGCTGATAAGATTTATTGTTACTGGTTCACGCGCACGATCGGCTTTCCAAACCCGAGGTCGGAAGTACAGTCCAGGCTGAGATACAGAAAAAAACCTTTTGTGAGGCAATGCAATGCACAATTCAATGACTTTCTGGGCTTTAATCATTCCGAATTAAGTATTGTTTTTCGTGACTACCAGTAAATCAGTTATAAGATGTATTCACCCAATTTCGTTTTAGGTATTGTTTTTCGTGACTACCAGTAAATCAGTTATAAGATGTATTCACCCAATTTCGTTTAAGGTGATGAATGACTGGTAGAAATAGAATTCTCCCACAGAATGATATGTATTGGACTGACGTTTCCATTGAATATTTACATAGCTTTGCATTCCCAAAAGTTGTTCTCATCCAGCCAGAA